CAAGATTGCCAGGAGAAATATCAATAACCTCAGATATGCAGATGATACCACCCTTATGGCAGAAAGTGAAGAACTAAAGAGCGTCTTGATGAAAGTGAAAGAGAAGAGTGAAAAAGTTGGCTTAAGGCTCAACATTCAGAAAACAAAGATCATGGCATCTAGTCCCATCACTTCATAGCAAATAGCTGGAGAAACAGTGGAAACAGTGGCAGACTTTATTTTTTTGGGCTCTGAAATCACCACAGATGGTGACTGCAGCCATGAAATTAAAAGACGCTTGCTGCTTGGAAGAAAAGTTTTGACCAACCTAGATAGCATATTAAAAAGCAGAGACATTACTTTGCCAACAAAGGTCCATCTAGTCAAAGCTATGGAATTTCCAGTAGTTATGTATGGATGTTAGAGTTGGACTATAAAGAAAGCTGAGTGCCGAAGAATTGATGATTTTAAACTGAGGTGTTGGAGAAGACTCTTGAGAGTCCCTTGGACTGCAAGGAGATCCAACCAGCCCATCCTAAAGGAAATCAGTCCTAAACATTCATTTGAAGGACTTATGTTTAAGCTGAAACTCCAATACTTTGGCCCCTGATGCGAAGAGCTGACTTATTTGAAAAGACCCTGATGCTGGGAAAGATTGAAGGTGGGAAGAGTAGGGGATGATGCGATGGTTGGATGACATCACTGACTCAATGGACAGGAGTCTGAGTAAAGTCCGGGAGTTGGTGATGGACAAGGAGGCCTGGCGTGCTGCAGTCCATGGGGTCGCAAAGAGTCGGACACGACTGAGTGACTGAACTGAATTACCTGGGGAGCTGCTCATCGATTGTCAGGACTCACCCTTAGGGTTAGCATGTGCCTCCAAATAGCTCTCAATTATCTTAAATAGTACTCTGTACTGAACTGCAGTGATTTCTATGCATTGGAACTCAGGCTCCTTGAGGACAGACACAGCTTGGTCCTCTCTCTGTCCCCAGTGCCTGCCTACCAGGCACTCAATGAATAGTTCAGTGAATAACTAAATACAGGAATATATATTCAAGGAGGGCTTCCCAGGTGGCTCAGTGGTAAAGAATCTGCCTGCCAAGCAGAAGATACGGGGTTGATCCCTGGGTTGGGAAGGTCCCCTGGAGAAGGAAATGGGCGCCCACTCTAGTATTCTTGACTAGAGAATCCCATGGACAGAGGAGCCTGGCGGGCTATAGTATGTAGGGTCACAAAGAGTTGGACACGGCTTAGTGACTAAACAATGACAAGAACAACCTTCAGTTGCAGGTAAGAGAAATTTAGCTCAAACTAGCTTGAGGAAAAAAAAAAAAAAGATTGGCTCAAATGTCTGGGCAGTCTAGGTAGGCAGCTTGCTTCAGGCAGAGCTGGCTCCAGGGACTTAACTGCTGTTTTCAGAAGCTATTCTATCCAGTGCTGGTTAGCAAAGATTGACACTAGTTCTGTGACTTGATCCTTCTTGCCTTCTGGGGGAGGTGTTGTCCAAGCAGCCCCTGCAGGGGTTGGGAAGAGGCAGGAGGGTTAAGAGAAAATGGGGCGCTGCCGGTGGTCATGGTAGGGGCAAGGAGTTCCCCTCAGCCATCCCCAGAGCCAGGGCATCATGGTATAGAGCCCACCTCAGCCCTTGATTTTTGGTTTTGGCTTTTTGGAGGTCACTCTGGGGAGGTTCCTTGTGGCTCCACCTCTGCCGGGGTTGGATGCCTCGGGTGGCCTGGGCCCCTTCCTCCTGCTTCTCTGAGAAAGCCACCCTGTGGCTTTCCTGCCAGGGCTCCTTGGAATTCCCACATTTGGCTGGGACAGGCTCTATGAGGGTGGAGGAAGAGGAGGAGGGAAAACCGACTGGTGACTCACCGGGAGGGGTGGCACATGCTGACTCCAGGGCATCCTGCCTTTGGGTGAGAATTCCCCTTTGTAGAAAAGGTGGGCAGGGCGGTGTGAATGCAGCCTGAGGCCTGTGCGTCTCCATGACCTGCTGTGTGCTGGGCAGCCAGTCTGTCCCAGTGGTCACAGGTCATGCTTCTGTTGCCTAGCAATACCCTCTCTGAGATGTGTTCCCCCCTCCTGCCCTCAGCTCTAGGAGCCCAGCTATTGGGGAGGGAGCCTCTCCCTGTCCTTGGTTCTGGGCTGTCAAGGCTTCTCCCCAGGGAATGCATGAGACAGGAACTTCCCTGAGTCCAGAGTCTAGCAAAGGAGTTGCAGGGAGCAAATCCAACCCCTGGAAAGATTGAAGGCAGGAGGAGAAGGGGAGGACAAAGGATGAGATGGTTGGATGGCATCACTGACTCGATGCGACAGGGAAGCCTGGTGTGCTATAGTCCATGGAGTCACAAAGAGTCGGACATGACTGAGAGACTGAACTGATTGACCACTCCCCCTAATCCCTGGAAATCCTCACCTTCCCTCAGGAGGGAAGGACAGCTCGGCCCTTGGGCAAGCTGATTAGATTGGGAGACCTCCCCACATTCAAGGAGGTGGCAGCCAGTCCAAGCAACCCTGGCAAGTAAACCCAGCAGAAGCAGCAGGAATTAGCTTGATGAATGGAGGAGACAGTCATCAGAAAAGGCTTAAGAGCCAGGCAGAGTGGTGTGCATTTATTCCCGTGGTAAATGGAGAATCATGTGAAGGCCTTGTAGAGGAAGGATATGAGCAGATCCCTGCGTCAGGTCCTAAGAGGAGACGCAGAGTATGGGATGGGCAGGGGCGGAATGGAGGGTCACGGGAGGATCACAGGAGCACTGGCCGCCCAGGTCAGGATGGGAGATGATAGGCATGGGCAGCAGTGGGAAGAGGGAGGGAGACCCAGGAAGGACAGGCCTTGGTCTGTCTTGGGGTAAATGAGAGCTCCTTAATCCTTAGTCTCTGTGATTCCTTCAGCAGACAGTCAGGCATGGCCGGCCACTGCCTGCCAGTATTTCCCTTCGGTCTGTGGTGGCCCTTGTAGGCAGGATGTGGTGCCTGCCAAGGGTGCCTTTATGCATGGACCTTGGAGGCTGCTGACTCAGCAGGCGGCAAGGCTTTGAGGTCGCCAGGTTTGGACCGGAACTGTCTGGGAGGGAAGTGGCTGCTCAGGGCTTCCCCACTGTGGACAGCTGGGAGGTGGGGGNGGGGGGGGGGGGGGGCAGGATGCACCCGGCTTGGCCAAGGGGACTCCCTCAGCTCAGCTGCTGGGTGTGGGGGAGGGGGGAGGCAGGCAGTGCTTGGCTGGGATTGGGAGGGTTGAGACTGGGTGCCTGCGACTGAAATTGATGCCGACTCAACTATTGATGCCATTCGCTCCCTGGAAGGGCAGAGAGGCGTGGCAGGGGTGGAGAATGCAAACCCTTCCCAACTTTGTGAAAAATATGAAGTCCCCTCACTTATCTGGGCTTTAATTTTTTTTCCTCTTGCAAAATAGGACCAAGTCAGGCAGCCTGGCTCCCTGGGTGGTCTGAGGAATGTAAAACCTTTCCTATTTTTGTCAATAGCATGACTCGACCCTGGTGACACATGGCTTGGTCAGGATGTGACAATCAGGCAGCAGCTGTGAGACCTGGGGAAAAGGCAGACAGCATTGGGGGTGGGGTGGGAGGAAGCCAGGGACTGGGAGCAGGGCTGGACCTGGGAGGTCGCAGAAATACCCCCACTCAATCCTGATTCCAGTCTGGGGGCGGGGATCAGTCTCAGAACAGGCCACTTCTGCTCAGTATATGCATGTTAAACTAGCCCATGTCCTTTCCCTTGAGCCCCACGCTCCTTCACCGGGCCGCCTTCAGAAGTCTCGCCCAGAAGTTCCTGTACAAACACCTTTCGCTGCACGCACCCTACCCTAAACCCTTCCCTGCTCTCTGCCTCCACAAATGCTCTACCTGGTCCCTAGGCTCAAACCATGGCCACCCTGGCTGCTTCCTCCCTCTCTCCCCTGCCCTCCATGCTGACACTTTCCCCAGACCTGCTTTGTCCCGTCTATCCAACTCTTCTCATTTATCCTGCAGATGCTGTCAGTGTAATCTTTATGAAACACAGCTCTGACCATATCCTTTCTTTTATTCCAGAACCTTCAGTGGCTCCCAGCTGCCTTTAGGATAAGCTTCTGACCTCTTGTTATGTTGTTCAGCCGCTAAGTTGTGTCCTAACTCTTTGCGACCCCATGGACTATAGCATGCCAGGCTTTCTTGTCCTTCACTATCTCCTGGAGTTTGCTCAAACTCATGTCCATCGAGTCAGTGATGCCGTCCAACCATCTCATCCTCTGTCGTCCCCTTCTCCTCCCGCCCTCAGTCTTTCCCAGCGTCAGGGTCTTTTCCATTGAGTCAGCTCTTAGCATCAGGTGGCCAAAGTATTGGAGCTTCAGCATCAGCTCTTCCAATGAATATTCAGGACTGATTTCCTTTAGGATTGACTAGTTTGATCTCCTTGCAGTCCAAGGGACTCTCAAGAGTCTTCTCCAGCACCACAATTCAAACACATCAATTCTTCGGTGCTCAGCCTTCTTTATGGTCCAACTCTCACATCCATACATGACTACTAGAAAAACCAGAGCTTTGACTATATGGACCTTTGTCAGCAAAATAATGTCTTAGCCAATCTCTAAGTCTTATTCTCCTCTACCAGCTGAGCCAAACTGATCTGTGTACATACCTGCATTGCCCTGAGCAGGCCAGGCTTGACTATTCTTGGCCTGCCTCTCCTATCTTTTGATTGCATATCAGTATCTGAGAAGGGGTGGATCCTAACTGCCTGCGGCCCTGCCTCTCCTGATCCAGCCTCCCCAGGGACTCAGTTCCCTCCTGCCAGCGTCTCTCAAAATATCCCTCAGTGGGGAGCCCTGTAGGGTGTGGGAAGGAGAACCTCCCAGTGGGCTGTTGCAGCCTTCCACCAGGCTGGTCCAGGGGAGATGAGGTGAGAGAGAGGGCTTGGTAAGGACCTTCTGAGACAGAAGCCTCACTTCCTCTTCCTCACAGGCAGGGGCAGCCTTCCATCACGGAGAGCCCAGCTGTCAGCTGCCTCACGGGAAGATGCTGTGTGGACCGGGCAGCACGGGTGTGAGTGTGGCCCCCGCCCTGGGAGTGCTGTGGTTCTGCCTCACAGGTGAGGGGGGCAGTTTGGGGCCTCGAGGTGCCCACCAGGCCTCTCTGTCTGGCAGGGCCGGGACGGTTTTGGCTAACTGCCTCTGAATCTCCTCTGTGCCCTGTCCACCTCATTCCTACCTTGGGATCCACCTTACTTTACATTTCTTAGCCTCTGTTTTCTCATCTGTAAAATGGTAACGTGAGCACTAAATGTGATAAGGCTGTTTCTTAAACACACGTGTGCTTCCTCCCGAGGGCCTTTGCACATACTGTCCCGTCTGCCTAAAACTTTCTGCCCCCACCCGTCTGCATGACTCGATCTCATATTTCATTCAAGCCATTGCTCAAATGTCACCTTGCCCAGGCTTTCCTGGCTACTGTGTATAGAATAACATCTCTTCCCTCCCTTTCCCTGACCTTACTTTATGCTTCTTCCCAACACTAATCTCCACCTGACATATTATATGTTTACTTGCTTATTGCCTGCTCTGCTCAAAGAGCAGAATGTATCCCCGGGGCCAGGATTAATGCCAGCCACATAGCAGGTGCTCAATAACCATGTTGAATAAAGGATATAAGTCTTCCCACACAGTTCTTGGCACAGAGTTGGCTTTCAATAATGGCACCTACTTTAATGACAACACCATCATATTTCAAATCCTAATCTGCTCAGAGGGAGATGGCCTCCTCCAAGGGGGAAGACAAAACTGAGTGTCTGGTGCCATCTGGTGGTCAAAAGAAGGAAGCACCGCTTTACCCAGCGGTACTTTGATTTCTCTAGAGAAAGGGTTTTGGGTGACTCCTCAGAATTCATCCCCCATGTGCCCCCATACAAGGGGCACCCTGTTGGTCTCCAACTGGAGAGCTGGCCTGTGGTGCCTGGCAGCCTGGAAGGAGATCCAGTGACAGCTTAAGGCCTTTAGAGATGACCACACACTGCAAAGATGATGATTGGGGTGTGTGTGTGGGGTGGGTGAGTGTTACTTGCTCAGCTGTGTCCAGCTCTCTGCGACCCCATGGACTGTAGCCCGTCAGGCGCCTCTGTCCATGGAATTTCTCCAGGCAAGAATACTGGAGTAGGTTGCCTTTCCTCCTCCAGGGGATCTTCCTGACCCAGGGATCGAACCTGGGTCTCCTGCATTGCAGGCAGATTCTTTACTCTCTGAGCCACCAGGGAAGCCCAAAGACAATGATACCACCTCCCTGTATGTAATTAACAATGAAAATACTAACTATAAAATGCTATTTTTCAAAATGTGAGAAAACTTTAATGAGTGCTGTATTCAGCTAGCTTTGTTTCAAGACTGGTCTTCACTCTTCCTGAGTGTGCCTGCTTTGCTGGTGCCCAGAGCACACACTTAACGTAAGCATTGCCCAAGAATGGCAGTGCCAGGCTAGGGGGCACATATCAGCAGAAGAAAAGCTGTCAGGAACCCCTACCTAACGTCCCAGGGCTCTAAAAGAAGAGCTAGACTGGAGGCAGAGGTGACTGGGTGGGAGGCTGCAGGGTAAACCCACAGGAGAGAGGGCAGGGGTGGGAACAGGGCAACCTGCCCTAGGGGGCTTTTCTCTGACTATGTCAGACTCTTTTTTCATTCCCTTTCAATCTCGGCTTAATATCTCTTTATGGAGAATGTGGTTCACCACCATATTTAAATGCATGGGTAATCTTTCTTTCTTGCATAAAAACTAATCATGTTTGTTGAGGAAAAGAAAAAGCACTTGTGATTCTTTCTCATCCAGAGAAAACCACTAATAATAACATTTGGGTGCATATTATTGTTTAGATTTTCTTTTCACAATTTATAAAGATAGTGTATACTTGGGAAATGCAGCCAGCACAGACAGGTGTCATGCACCTGCCAGATTTTTTTAAAACTGCATCTTTACTTTCTATCCATTGGCTTCTTTCTTCCTTAAACTCCTAATCACATGCTACCAAGAATTTGTGTGCTAGTTTGTCTCTCCCTCCCACTAAAATTTAAGCTCTTCAGAGGTGTGACCTTGGTGTTGTTCTCTGTGGCATTCCTAACGCTTACCCTTGGCATAGCATGTACTTACTATATTCATGTTGGTTGAACTAGAATCACAGTAAACTATCCTCAGCCCTTAAAAAAGGAGTGGACCGGGCCTGAAGTTAACTCGGAAGGGGAGGGGAACTGGGGAGGTCCTGAGTGTCCCACCCTGTTCTCACCGTCCCACCCTCAGGGGCCGCAGTGGAAGTCCAGGTTCCGGAAGAGCCCGTGGTGGCCCTCGTGGGCACCGACACCACCCTGCGCTGTTCCTTCTCGACCGAGCCCGACTTCAGCCTGGCACAGCTCAACCTCATCTGGCAGCTGACAGACACCAAACAGCTGGTGCACAGCTTCGCCGAGGGCCGCGACCAGGGCAGCGCCTATGCCAACCGCACGGCGCTCTTCCCAGACCTGCTGGCTCAGGGCAACGCGTCCCTGAGGCTACAGCGCGTGCGCGTGGCTGATGAGGGCAGCTTCACCTGCTTCGTGAGCATCCGGGACTTCGGCAGCGCCGCGGTCAGCCTGCAGGTGGCAGGTGAGAGCCGCGAAAGGGGCGCCCTCCCCCTGGCACACCCCTCACACTTCCTGCACTGCCCCAGTGCCAAGGCTTGTCTTCACAGCCCCAGGCGCTCTTTCCCTCCACTGTGTCCCGCTGCTCTTGCCTTAACCTGACCTTTGCCCTCTATCCTCTGCTCCCCATCCAGCTCCCTACTCAAAACCCAGCATGACCCTGGAGCCCAACAAGGACCTGAGGCCGGGGGACACGGTGACCATCACGTGCTCCAGCTACCGGGGCTACCCCGAGGCCGAAGTGTTGTGGCAGGATGGGCAGGGTGCGCCCTTGACCAGCAACGTGACCACGTCGCAGATGGCCAACGAACAGGGCTTGTTCGACGTGCACAGCGTCCTGAGAGTGGTGCTGGGTGCTAATGGTACCTACAGCTGCCTGGTTCGCAACCCCGTGCTGCAGCAGGACGCTCACGGCTCGGTCACCATCACAGGTAGGGGCCGACGAGCAGCTGGGGAAAGCTAGAAAGAACCATCCCTTTTTATCTAGACTCTGAGCCAGAATTCAAATAGGCTTGGGTGGTCAAGATTAAAAAAAAATTTTTTTTCCTTAACATTTCACATGTCTCAAATTCTCCCCCAAGCAGACCTTAAGGGACTTGCTATATTGTGCAGTAAGAATCATTTGTAGTANACTGTGTCCCACTGCTCTTGCCTTAACCTGACCTTTGCCCTCTACCCTCTGCTCCCCTCCAGCTCCCTACTCAAAACCCAGCATGACCCTGGAGCCCAACAAGGACCTGAGGCCGGGGGACACGGTGACCATCACGTGCTCCAGCTACCGGGGCTACCCCGAGGCCGAAGTGTTGTGGCAGGATGGGCAGGGTGCGCCCTTGACCAGCAACGTGACCACGTCGCAGATGGCCAACGAACAGGGCTTGTTCGACGTGCACAGCGTCCTGAGAGTGGTGCTGGGTGCTAATGGTACCTACAGCTGCCTGGTTCGCAACCCCGTGCTGCAGCAGGACGCTCACGGCTCGGTCACCATCACAGGTAGGGGCCGACGAGCAGCTGGGGAAAGCTAGAAAGAACCATCCCTTTTTATCTAGACTCTGAGCCAGAATTCAAATAGGCTTGGGTGGTCAAGATTAAAAAAAAATTTTTTTTCCTTAACATTTCACATGTCTCAAATTCTCCCCCAAGCAGACCTTAAGGGACTTGCTATATTGTGCAGTAAGAATCATTTGTAGTATTTGCCCTCCTAAGAGTGTCTTGGTACTTGGGGACTGAATACCTGCCTGGAATCTGGAGGTGTTCCAGGAGGGAGTTCTGGAGAAGCCACAAGGCATAGCTCTGTCTGGAGTGCTTTCCTACGGGAACCTCTCCAAGTGCTGGGAAGGTGTTGCTACGTCACCATCTGTTACTGAGCACCATCTGACTCTGAGCGCCTGAGAGACAGCTGGGCCTCTCCAGGTGGTCAGACCCCTCACCCCATCAATGTCAGCTCTCCTGATGGAATTAAACTGGACCCAGCCAGCCTTCGAACTTCCCTGGTAGCTCAACTGGTAAAGAATGCACCTGCAATGCAGGAGACCTGGGTTTGATTCTTGGGTTGAGAAGGTCCCTTGGAGGAGGGCATGGCAACCCACTCCAGTATTTCCTCCTGGAGAATCCCCAGAGGTGCCTGGCAGGCTCCAGTCCCTGGGGTCGCAACTAACCGCGGCACACAGCACTGACCCCCTTTGGAATGGCTGGGCTCTCTCTGCTGCCCCCCTGTGGTCAAACACCAGATCAACTCTGCCCCCTTTGGCAATTCCCTCAATCTCTAGTTTTGGGCTCCTAGCCCAGACACACTTCCCTTCCTTTAGTGCCCACCTCAGTGGGTACCCCTTGTGCCTGGAGGTGTGAAGAGGGCTCAGACCTACACTCAGGCCAGGGAGAGGCAGTCTTCATCCTTATTTGGATCTCATTCTGGCTCCTCTGTACCTCCCCTTGGGACAGCTAACCTTTCCTAGGGACCTCCCTGCATTCTCTGGGATCAGGACAGCAGGTTCTGTCTATCTGGTTCTCCTGTTTCTTTCCCATGACTTCCACCTGACCTGCAGCCCACAGAAGATCTGATCCCCCTGATAACCAGTTTCTGTGCAAGCCTCAGGCTTCACTGACTCACTCCTGTCTTCCTGTGCCCCATTTGCATGGACCTTGCGTGGCCTTCACTTCTGCCAGTGTCCATCACATTTGCCTTCTAGGAATTCAGGCTCATTCCTCCTCCTCCTCATTCACGGTTTTCCTTCTGGCAAGGCTTTATTCCCTTTGCCCACCCCCTCCCCAAGGTTGACTTCACCCTCTTTCTGGAGACCCCTAGGCCTATACTTTCTGTGGGGGAGTTACTGCTCTGGGCTGTTGGATGTCCCATGGGGTCTCCTTGACCTTTTAGATACATCAGCATATGGTCTGATGTAGTCACAGGAGAGAATCAGAAATACTAGATACAGCAGGATCGACAGAGAATGAAGTTTTCAGAGAAGGGGGTAGTGATCAGAATGGGCTGCAGTTTCAGGAGAAGTCTCTAGGGACAGGTGGGAGTTGAAGGGACCTTGAAGGGTTGGTGATCTTTGTGATAATTTGCACACTGAGCCGAATTGGCTATTCACCACCCTGTGTAGAAAGGGCTCATGAGTATGCAATTATACTCGTATACCTGAAGATGCAGGTCTGAAACCCCACTCTGTCCTTGACTGGCAGAATGAGGACAAGCCTGACCTGTGCTGCAGGCACCATCACCAGCCTAGGGGTGGACATAGTGGGAGCCCCTCCACCTGGGTGTTTCTGTGGCTCTGCTCCATGCTTTTCTGTAGGAGCCCCACCCTGGGATCCCCAGGGGTTTCTTCCATGTGCTTCCTGGTACTATCCTCCTTTCCTGCTCAGTGGGGACATTTCCCCACCTGAGAGAAAAATATTAAAAATTGTAGTAGCTGGCATTTAAAGTGCATTCATTTCACAGATGAGGAAGCTGAAGGCCAGAGAGAAGAGAGAACTTTCCCAAGGCCACAGCCTAGCACAGTGGCTCTGACTCTTTGGGGATTAGGCACCTCTCTGAAAACTGGATACATGATAAATGCAGTCATTTGCATTTAAGTTTTGAGGGCTTGTGGCCCCACTGCACTCATCCATGGGGGTCTGTGGACCTTGGCTCCAGCATCTTGCAGTGAGCAGATGAACCAGAATCCAACTTTTAGCCTCTCAGCCTAATTTCCTCTCCTCCCCACCACCCAGCCTCCTGTTTTTGCGAGAGCAGGTCTGCCCTACTTTGGAGCCCTTGGCCTGTATTTCGCTTCGGGCAGCTTTGTGCCTTGGAAAACGTTCTGGGACTCAGACTTTGAGTCCTCCAGCCTGGTCCCTCTGCACCTGCTGGAGGTTAGTTGCATGTGCTGTATGTGGAGGGGGCTCTGTGGAGCAAGTCCTGGATGTGGAGTCTGAGGATGCAGGTCTGAGCCCCGCTCTGTCCTTGGCTGGTGGGACGAAGGCAAGTCAGACCTGTGCTCCAGGTACCAACACCAGCCCAGGGCTGGACAGGGCAGGAGCCCCACCTGCTGGGCGTTTCTGTGGTCTGCTCCATGCTTTCCAGCGGGAGCTTCCCCCGCTTTGGATTCCCAGGGGTCCCTTCCATGTGCTTCATGGGCTGGCCGGCCTGTCCTCTTGTGTCAGCTGCTGTCTTTCTCTCCTGCTCCTGTTCCCCAAGGTGATGGGTGCCTTTGCTGCTGATATCCAGAGCAGCAGTGTAACCGGCCATGCCTGTTGGAAGTGACTCTGGCCACAAATCCCCATATCCATGTTAAGGCCTCCACTGCCTGAGGGTTGAGGCACTGCTCTCTGCTCTGATGGCATCTTCTGCAGGAGTTTTTGTTAGATGTGTTGTCCCAAAGGCCTCTGCCCAGGACCCCATGTGGATCCTGGGGCTGGGCTGGAGGATAGTGCATTCGGAATAGCTGTGGGTCCTTACCCAGCCGAGGGCAGCTCAGCTCCTTCCCTCTGCCCCGAGATAGCCTACAGGAGGGCCCTCAGCGTTTCACAGCACTTTCCCCTGGCAAGTCTCCTTCTCAGGGGTAAACCTGTACTCTGGTGCCCTCCGTGTCCGCCCTCATCTTTATGCGGGAATCTGTACACATCTTCTGTCAAAGGCTGGATGTATGTGTATTTTAGGTTTTGTGGGCCACATAACATCTCTGTTGCTGCTGTCTTTCCTTTTTTGGTAACCCTTTACAAATGTAAAACTATTATTAGCTCGTGGGTTGTACAAAAACAGGCCACAGGCCAGATTTGGCCCATGGACTGTGGTTTGTCAACTCCTGATCTGTAAGGTGGAGAATATCCCCAGGTGGGGCTGGGGGAGGAAGGGGGGCTTCCTGGGGAGGAATCATAAGCCAGGTGGAGAGTGAGGAAGCACTTTTCAGGTAGAGGACACCGAGAGCAGTGGTGCAGGGGCTGGGAGCAGCCAGTCATCTCTACGGAGAATGGAATTACAGAGAAGCTTGAAGCACTCTTTTCATGTCAGTAGGGAGCCGTAGAAGGTTCTTGAGCATCGTGGACCACAGATTCTTCAACCTTCCCAGGTTGAGGCCTGCCCATGGCAATCCCAGCTGTATCAGGCTTTGGAGGGTTTGTGGATGTGGGGGGAAGGGGCATGGGAGCTTATGTAAGCTCTCTTCATGGTGTGGGGGCCCCATGAGGGTAGGAGCCCCCTGTTCACACTTTGGAGTCAGAGGGCTTGTCCTCAGGGCCACTGGGGGTCAGGCATGACAGTCTCTCCCCATTCTCCCCATCTCCCCTCCCAGGGCAGCCCATGACCTTCCCCCCCGAGGCCCTGTGGGTGACCGTGGGGCTCTCCATCTGCCTCGTCGTACTGCTGGTGGCCCTGGCCTTCGTGTGCTGGAGAAAGATCAAACAGAGCTGCGAGGAGGAGAATGCAGGCAAGTGAGAGAGGGGGTGTGCATGTGTCTCCGGGTATGTTGGTGTGTCCATGACATCAATAGGAGTGTCACTTTCCGGTGACAGAATGAATGTGTGTGCAAATGCAACTACATTGTGTGTGTGTGTGTGTGTGTGTGATCTGGAGGCTGAACAGATCTCGTGTGCTTAAACAAGTGTGAGCCTGCCCGTGAGTGTGTAGACGTGCTTAAACAAGTTTGAGCCTGCCCGTGTGTGTGCAGACGTGCAGGGTGAGTGTGAGTGTGACTAGGAGTGAGTAGTGAATGTGTAACAAAGGTATGGATGTGTCTGTGTGTAACTGTGACAGCATAAGTCACATGAGTGTGTCTGTGAGTGAGAGCACATGGAAATCGAGCCACACAGGCGTGACTGCTTTATGGGTTTGTGTGTGTCCCCATGAGAGGATGTGTCATCCTTAGAGTGGACAGTGTCTGAAGCAGCTGCTGCTTGCTGGGGTCAGTGTGGGTTGACTTGGTGATTGGTAGGTGGTAGGTTGACACTGATCAGTAGGAGGTTTGACCTTGGTAGGGAAGTTGACTCTGGTGAGTGGTGGGTGGGTGAATGAGTGGATCGTCCTTGGCCAGGTGAGTGGCGGGCTCCTGCCTGGGGTCCCTCTCATCCGGCCACAGGCCAGGTCTGCTCAGCCCCATTTACCTGCCTCCTGCATTCCCAGAAGCAGGTCAGTGATGAAGGTGAGTAGGGCTGAGGAAGTTTCTGTTCCCTCTGCCAGGAGCTGAGGACCACGATGGGGATGGAGAAGGATCCAAGACGGGTAAGTCTGAACCCAGAGGGACTCTGTTGGCTGAGGATGGATGCAGGGACAGGGGCGGGGACCCCAAGGTCTGGAAGGGCCCCATTTACTTGAAGGTTTGAATGAAATGTGTCCCGTGGACTGAGGCCTCCCGGCCCAGGTGAGTCTGGCCTTTGCTCAGCAGCAGACCTGGAGGCAGGTCTCCCAGGGGCTGCTTCATTTCTCATGTCTATCTTTATCCACCTCCCAGAGCCACTCCACCCTGAAGGACCTGGCTCGGGAAGCAGGGCAGGCTGGGTTTTAGTTCCAGTCCCAGCTCATATAAGCCGAATGGCCTTGAGCAAGTCACTTTGCCTCTCTGGGCCTCAGTTTCTGCCTAGGTGCTCCTTTCAGAGGTGGTGTGAGTTAAATTAAATGGGATCATGTATGTTAAGGGCTGAATATCATGCCGGGGACCTGCATAGGGCTCCATAGTTTTCAGTCCTGTTCTCAGCACTGTGTTTTTAGCCTGACACAGTTCCACTCTGGTAAGAGGCTGAATAACTTTGGTCAGTGCTTTTTTCTTCTGGGCTTCAGCTTCCCATTTGTAAAATGGCCTCCTGGCCTTTCCTGATGGCACCAGAGGGCTGTTTTGAACCTCTCTCATGTGACTTTGTGAAGGGCCTGGCACTGTGGGGACACCAGCCTGGAGCCTGGAGAGGGACACCAAGGCCCTGGTGCCCCACGGCCACTGGAGGCCTCGCTGCTTTCCCTCCCCGGGCCCCAGGGACTGGGGGAGCAGGTCCTTGCTGAGCCCTCTGTGATGATGCCAGTTGACATGGGTTATCCCCAGTCCCTGGAGAAGGAAGGGCAGAAGATCGATCTCTGCAGACTGCTGTAAGCTGTGCCAATTCATTCTCTGCCTTTGGTGTCCGGGTGTGGCAGGTGTAGACACAGCCTGGGATCAGGCCTCATTTTTCTTGTTCAGTTGGTAGAAGGGAGGGAGTGGGGAGAAGAGGGGAGCTTAGAGACATGCTTAGTCTCAGTTCTGCAAGATCCCGGGCCTACCTAGTGACACCTGCAGCCTCCTTTAGCACGTCACTTAACCCTATTTGTACAGCAGGCTTAGGGTACTCTCACATCTCACTCACAGGAGGGCCGGGGAGTTGTTCCCATTATAGAGATGCAGAAAACTGAGGCCTGGGGGAGGAGTGACAAGTCACAGAGCAGAACTGGAACTTGGGGCAGCAGCTGAGACCCCTTTTCCAGTGCTGTGATGTTTCCCTCACCCTCTCAACTTCTCCCTCCTGCCTCCTCCTCCTAGTCCTTCTTCTAGACTTTATTTCTTCCTTACCACCACTTTTCACAGTTCCCCCCTTCACTGTGTACTCCTTCCTTTTTTGCAGCCCTGCGGCCCCTGAAACACTCTGAAAACAAAGAAGGTAAACACATGTGGTGTTTGTGCATCTGTGTGTGTGTGTGTGTGTGTGTATGCCCTTGTGTGTAGGAGGCTAGGGGGTGGTCATTGGTGATGGGTTTGCTGCTGCCCCAAGGCTCCCTCCCCCTGAAGAACAGCCTCGACTCCTCCCTGTTGAAATGGCAGCAGGCGGAGAAATCAAGGCCCCAGTGCTCTTAACAGGATGCAAGTATGATAGAGGCTTAACCGGGACAGGAGTAAGATTGTCTTAAGGCCACTGGTACCCTGGAACTAGCTTCCTCCTATGGGGCTTCTGCCTTCTTCTACTCAAAGCTTCCATTGCCAGGTCCAGGTGGCTGCTCCAGCTCTCACAACCCTCCAGAACAAAGAGGGAAAGAGGAGAGAGAGGGGACATTTTTTTCTAGGGCTTGACTAGAAATAGCTCCTGTCACTCCTGTTTATATCCATTTGTCAGAACCTAGTCATGTGACTGCAACTCAAGTGAGGCTAGGAAATGGGGTTTTCAGCTGGACAGGCACGTTCCTGGTACATAGTCAGTGGTTAATAATTGTTAGTGATGGTTATTGGTCAGATTATCATAACATCAGCAGTTACATTAGGAAGTGGTTGGTTGGAGGTTAGTTTTAGTTTGAGATTCTTCTTTATTAAAAGTGACCAGAAGCTACACCTCTGTGTGTGTCTGTTTGTTTATAAATATATGTATATATCTGTGTGTAGTCTGTGTATTTTGAGTAAGCTATTTCTCGCTGCAGACTTATCACTAAATATGAGTGGCTTCCACTTCGAAGGTCAAAAGTTTGGGGACCTTAATTTTTGGCCAGAGGTTATGGAGCCTTAAGTAACTCTCAGGTTGCCTTGTTGTCCCTGTTAGGAAATAAACTCTCCATTCAGATCATGGTGGAGAGTGAGGCCATGGGTGTGAACGTATGGAGTGGAGAAGATGAATCAGGGGATAGACAGGGTGGGGGGCAGCATGGGGAAGGGAAGAGTGTGCCAGACCAAGGGCAGGGAAGGGTGCAAGGTGGCTGGACCCAGGGGGATTGAGAAAAGCCAGTGAGGACTGGGCAGTCTTCTTCAGGCACCCTCATGATCAGTCTGACGCCCAGCAGCTGTGTGTGTATCTGAGCCTTGAGGGCAGTGCTGGGTGTGGGGGCTGCCAGTCAGACTAACGGCCCCCTCACACATACCACCCCCATCACCCGAGTATGTGACCACATCCCTGGGGTTCTGGCATACTCCCGAGACTTCCACTCCTGCATTTAACGCTCCCCCCTCTTTTTTCCTTCCCATCATGAAATGCAGATGATGGACCAGAAATAGTCTGACAGCGAGGCTCAGGGAGCTGCTGCCCCTGCCCTGGGGCTCCCGCCTCTGGCTGCACTGGAGCCTCAGTGCGAGCTCTGGGCTGGGGGCTTCCCTGCCTCCAACAGATGGCGTCCACTCTGGCGGATCTACTCATTCTGCAAAGGACACGATACACAGACCACCCTGCAGCCTTATTTCTCTGATGGACACGATCCCCAAGTCATCCTGCTGCCTTATTTCTCCAGTGACACGATACCTAAATCATCTTGCTGCTTTATTCCTTACGGACGCAATGCACAGACCTCCCCGCCACCGTATTTCCCCAAAGGATATGCTACACGGACCATCTGGCTGCCATTTTTCTCCAAAGATGTGGTACACAGTCTCTCAGTCGCCTTGTCTCCGATGGTCCAGATACACTAGTTATCACTTCTCAGCCTTCTTCCCCATCCGCCCGTAACTGTCTCCTCAGCGGAGGCCACTGCAGCCTTAGGATTTCCTCCAGACTAGAGGCGTCGCCTCCTGCTCTGCCCCTGAAGTCAGCCTCTTCCCTCCTCCACTAAGTGAACACAGGGCCCCTCCCCCAGGCATGCAGACGCCCAGGTGCACGTGCTGGAACACGTGAGGCCCTCCCCCGGCCCCTCCTCTTCCGGGGCGCCCGGGGCTGTGCCCTGTGAGCCCCGCCCTCCCCACGGGAAGTAAGTGCTGGTCACACTGAGTCTCTGGGCGGCTGCGCGGGCCTCCTTGGGATCTGCTGCTGTCCCTCTGCTTTTCCTTTCATTGATCCATTTAAGTAACGTTCACTGAGCATCTCTGGGCGTCAGCACTGTGTTAGGTACTGGGGTCCCTGCGCGAGAAGACAAGCCCCTCCCTAAGGAGCGCGCCCTTCAGCCAAGAAACCCTTGAGGCAAGAGGGACTCGTGAGGGGCTCCTGCCTTGCTTCCTGCTGAACCTCTCTTCTGGACCACAGTTCCCTGGATACCTCACTCCCATCCCACCCCGCATCCTTGCCCAGAAACCTGGAAAGAGAGACAGAGCCTCTCGCCCCCACTGGAGCATCTGATGGTTTCCAAAGTGTCTTTCCAGGCATGCACAGCAGGGACAGGCAGCCCAGACCCGACAGACCCGGGGGAGCTAGGAGCTGCAGCGCAGAGGAAGCCTGAGGGCAGGGACCGTCCCACCCCCACCATGGTGCTATTCCGGAGCTGGGCAGACAGTTTCTAGCTTGTCTCTGGCCAGTCCCCAACCTCCAGTGGAGTAAACTTCTGAGGACCTGATGTTCTCCTGTTGACATCCCTCCCTTCCCCAGGAATGAAAGATGTGGGGGTTTCTAATTTAAATGTGGGACTCTGAGAAATTTTGTTAACTGGGGGTGCATTTTGGGAAAAATAAATGCCTTTGTAGAAAGCTTTTTCTCTAAATTGTATGGCAGCAGGGATCGACTGGAAGAATTCCCTTCTGGACATTTGAGGCCCAGAGTAGGGGTGTCTGGATCTCCTTACTCTCACTGTCCTTAAGTCGCTGAGTTTCCATGGCCCCTTTTCTAACTTCAGTTACCCACTTGGTAAGGATGCTGGCTGTCCAGAAAGCCAGGCCCTTTGGTCACTGTATGGGGCTCCAGCCACTCCTAGAAGTGTTACCTAACATCTTTATCTCAGAAGATTCAGACTCCAGGCTTGTTTAAGGCATGGATGGGGAAACAGACCCAGGAAGAAGCTAACAGAAAAGGAACTCTGCATGCTCTTTTTGGCTGACACAGTGGAATGGGCACCAGGCCTGAGTCAGATGTCCAGGTCTAAGACCTCATTTAGCCCTGCCCTGTGATCCTGAACTGGGAGTTGAACTTCTCTGGGCTTTAGATTTTTATTTTTTTGGCCACGCTGTGCAGCATACAGGATCTTAATTTCTCGATTAGGGATTGAAACTTTGCCCCCTGCATTTGGATTCTTAACCATTAGATCACTGGGGAAGTCCCAGGGTCTTAGTTTTCTTATATGAAAAATGGGCCTGAAAATTTTCACCACCTTCCAGTTTCGAAGACTAAGATGAGGAGGTGAACATGGCAAGCAAACCATTTCCAGAGAACCAAGCTCAAGGATGTGGGAGCCTGAAGAAGTGCATTGGGCTCCTTTACCCTTGGGGGCCAGGGTCTCAGAACTGGCCCACCAGTCAGTCCCCAAACTGCGGGCCCTCGGGCAGCAGGAAGAGCTCGGGCTGGGGGTCAGACCACTTGACTTTTGTTTAGTTTTTAATTTTTTTCTTGTTTTCCTTTTTGACTTTTGTTCCTGGCTCTGCTACTGACTTGTGACCAAGTCCTTCATCCTTCTGAACCTTCATTGCTTTATCTGTTAAGAAGGGGTGAAGGGTGGTCCAGTGGTTAAGATGCTGTGCTTTGAATGCAGGGGTCATGGGTTCAAACCCTGGTCAAGGAACTAAAATCCCACATGGCCAAATAAAGAAAAATTTTTTAAACAGCAAAATATTTTTAAAAAGAAGGGGTGATGAGTGCCCTTTGGAAAGGTATGTGGAATTCTTTCCAAACTGTGGTGCTTCTTCTAAAGTCGATGGCCCTAGAAGTGAGTCCAGTCACCTTACTAGAAGGCCCTCCCACTGGTGCTGTGGGTAGGTTTTAGATTGAAAAACCTTTCGCCGAGGTTCTGTCTTTTGCCCCATGTTTCTCCCTGTACCCTTGAGCGTGACCTCACCTCACCAGGTATCAACCACACCAGTATAATGGGGACAGTAGTAGTTCTTGTTTTGTAGGATTGTTGTGAGGGTTGGACAACATAGGAAGAAGATACTACAAACTGTAAAGTGCTGGGCACATGTGATGGCTTATCTTTCCCTCCCTGCAGTCAGGTTGCACACACTTGCTCCCTCGGCGATTTTGCAGATGGAGCACAGTGACCCAGGGCAAGTTGTCTAAACCTCAGTTTGCCTATCAGTAAAACAGGGCCAGAAGTTGGTGCTTTTTCTTTTGGACAGGGCTGGGAGATGGCTCAAACACGACCCCGTATCAGATGCTTGAGGGAGGGACCTGGCGGGTGTGGGACTTCCCTAGGGGCTGCAGGGTGAGGAAGGTGGCTATTCAGTCCCCTCCAGTGACTGGCGCCCCCAGAGAGCAGTATTTTTAGCTGCTCTTCCTGGGCAAAGCTCCAACTCCTGCATTTTAATGGAGAAATAATTCTCACAGTGTGACAAGCTGTAGCCTGCAGGTGTCACATCCATATTAAAGAGGGGACAGAGCAGGGTTCATTTTCCTGGCTTGAGGTGTGACCGGAATTCACCTCCAGGACCATTTGTAACCAAGGCCATGAAGACCAATTAGTGGCTCTGACCGTTCATGAGGAGGAGACTGGGTGTCGGGGTACAAACAGAATGGCTGGCGGGCCTGAGTCACCCTGCCTTTCTCTCCCTGCTCTCTTTCTCTTCAGAGCGCTCTCTCACAAGCATGGACAGCGCCTTCCATCGTGTCTGTTCAGGCAGAGGCACTTGACCTGGCTCATCCTGGGAGATGGTTGCCTAGTGGGATGCTGGTACGTATGGGCCAAGGAACAGTTGTTTAGTCACTGAGTTGTATCTGACTCTTCACCACTGCATGGACTCTAGCCCACCAGGCTGCTATGTCCATGGAGTTTCCCAGGCAGGAATACTGGAGTGGGTTGCCATTTCCTTCTCCAGGGAATCTCCCCAATAAGCAGAGACCCTGGCAGATTATTTTTTATTAGTAGTAAAAAAGATTTTTTTGGCCACATGGCATGTGGGATCTTAGTTCTCTGACTAGGACTTGAATCTGCACCCTCTGCAGTGGAAGTACAGAGTCTTAATTACTGGACTGTCAGGAAAGTACCCAGATCCTGCAAATTCTGAGCGGGGCAATGGCCAAAGATCTTAATGCAAAGCCCAAGTCTTAAACTGAGACATGAAGCCAAAGATAGCCCTGAATAGCCCCGAACCCAGGCCTCCAAGTGCAGGACACTCAGGTGACCCGGAGTGGAGCCACCGTGAAGTGAGCAGCCGGAATGTGGAGGAGGTAGGAGGGACAGAGGATTCAAACACCACAAATGCAAATAATATAGAAATGTAGAAACTGGTTGTCTTCACCTCCAATCCCCTCACTCAGGGGAAAGTACTACTAACAGTTTGCTATCTTTCCAGACTTTTCCCCAGGCTTACTCATTTGTAAAAATGAAATCACAGATTCTGTTCTACAGCTTTTTTTCCTTGTTTTCTTTACCATTTTCTCAAGTCAGTTCTCTTTACTTTTTATGTTGAGGTGTCTCATACACCTAGTGTGTAAAAAAGATGCTAGTCCGCAGTGTACGGCTCTGTGAATTTTTAAAGAGGTGTTTACATCACCTTGTAAATATCTCCCAGATCAAGATATAGAACACTTTCAGGATCCAGAAAGTTCCCTCCTGACCCTGCCTAGTCAGTGGCCCCACCCAGAGAGACTACTCTGGCTGTTTGCACCATCGATTCGTTTTGCTTGTTCTTGAACGTAATATAAATGGATCCTACTATATATACTATTTTGTGTCTAGCTTTTTGCAGAGACCTCCTTCATTCTTTCTAAATGGCTCCATAGTATCTCCTAGCACTGCTGTTCTAGAATAGACTTTGGCAGCTTCTACAGTTTGGAGACAAATTCTGCAGCCTTGTCCTCCTGTTGCTACAGTATGCAGCCTCATACTAATCACTGGCCCATAGGCCTGTAGATATTAAGTGCTGGTAGAGTTGCCACTTGTTTGGGCTGCCTTTGTAGCCAGTCCTCGTGGCAGGAAGAACGTGCTAGTGAAGGGCACTTAGGGCCACTGGCAAAACGATTCTAGACAGGGCAGCAAGGGTGCCAGGGATTGCCACCCCAGCCAGGCACTCAGACTCACAGTGGAGCCTGACCCAGCAGCAGATGAGGCCTGCGGACCTCTCTTCTCCCCCCACCCACCGTGCACTGCCTTGCCCTTCAACACCTAACTTGTGGGGGCCCCGCCTCAATTCCCTAGGAGCTAGGGGTCTTCATGGTTCTAGGACCCCAGTCTTAGAGGTGAGCTTGTCTGCCTCTTGCTGGATGGAGTGGGCCTTGGGCTGAAAGGTGCATCCTGCATGCACCGCACCTGACCACAACGGATGGGGCCACATTCATCAGCATCTCACTTAGATGCAGGTTCCTCAGGGCACATTCAATTTTCTGCACTTGTTTCTGAGGGTGTTCGTGACCTGCCATTTGGCTCCACCAGTTCCAGGTAATTACAGTGACACTATCTCAGCACTAATGAGGTGGTGCCTGTTACAGCACAGGGAACGATGGGCCTCACGGGGCACACACATCCCAGCCCTCAGAAGCAGAGGATCTGTGACCTTTGTTCCCAGCCTTTCCGCAGCACCTGAGCAGTAAAATCGCTCCCTCCCCTCAGCTGATATGATTTCCTCATCCCCATCGCCCTCCTCTGGACCTGTTTCCTCATTGTCCCTTCCAGATGGAGGCCCATGGATGAAAATGTTTCAGCCCCTAATAGATAATCCTGGGCACCACGCTCCTGCTCCACATCGCATCAGTCCACTGGTTCTTAACCCTGGCTGCACCTTAGAGTCACTTAAGGAAGTTTTAATAATAGCAGTTCCCCGGCCCATCCCTAGAAGTTCTGATGCAGCTAAATGAGATCACTGCTAAATAGCTGATGTGTATATCCCAGGGGCCCAAGCCTACCTTACAAGTTAATGCAAAAGAGGATTCAGAGAGACAGCCCAGAGCAGAGGCTTCTGAGACCAGGGGCAAGAGACAAGCCAGTTGTTCTCAATGAGACTGAATCAGACCAAAGAGTGTTTGTTTTCTCACTAAAGGAGGAACAGAAAATACAGGTGCAAGGAAGGTTAAGGGGAGGGATCTTGTTTAGTGTGGAGAAGAGGAGGGCCTGTTCCTTGTGTTGCGGGGCCCAGAGGAGAGCAGGAACCCTCAGTTGCCACTCTTGGTCAGATCAGGCACCCAGGCTCTGGGGAAGTGAGAAAAGAGGGGGCGCCAGGGATGACGATGCAGCCCCCTTCAGCCTGAGGACAGGGACAGGGGGCTCCCTCCTTTTCCTCCGACTGCCTCCCCTTCTCCCTCTCCCTTGTTGTCTCCAGGCCTCCAGATGTGCACAGTCATGCAGCTGGTCCTGGCTCTCTCCCTCCCTCCAGCACCACGAAGGGAAGGACCATCTGTCCTGCTCACTGCACCCCAGCGGGCTGTGTGCGTGTGCCAGGCTCGAGAAAGCAGCCTTCACACTCTTCCTGTTTCCCTTCCTCCCTGCCTCAAACTTGCCTCTGCCCCACTGTATTTTGTGGCCTATACTGTTCTGCAGACCTGCTGCAGCCAAAGTGACCTGAGGTTAGCGTCTTTCTTCTACCACTGCCTTCCACCACCTTCCTGA